AAACTCTGTAACAGGTGAAGAATGATCCTAAAAGATTGGTAACCAGAGGTGATTGCCTTTTAGTTTGACCAGCTGAAAGTGAGATCTTCATGAACTCAGTATTTCCCCCAGTTAGGGGAGACTATAGTTTAGATTGCAAACAGGAATCTTTTTTGTCAATGTTTATTATGTCGTGTTTTTTTTTTTTTTTTGCTTTTTATTCTTTAATTGCTCATAAAAAGGGGGCTGCAGTGAGGCAGTGGGTTGCCTTGCAGCAAGAAGGTTACTGGTTCGATTACCCGCCCGTGGTCTTTCTGCTTGGAAGTTTGCATGTTCTCCCTGTGCATGGGTGGCTTCACTCCGGGTTCTCCAGCTTCCTCCCACAGTCCAAAACATGACCGTTAATAAGCTTCTCTAAATTCTCCTTAGGTGTGACTGTGTGTGAATGGTTGTTTGTCTCTGTGTTGCCCTGCGATGTACTGGCGACATGTCCAGGTTGTACCCCGCCTCTCGCCCATTGACAGCTGGAGATAGGCACCAGCACCCCTTGTGACCCCAGCAAGGATAAGCTTAATGGAAAATGGATGCTCAAAACAAAAAAAAAAAAAAAAACTAAAAACATATAAAGATCACAATATAACATCAATTAATTCAAACTTCTGCGGTCCATTTAGCAAGCAACACTGATTAACAATCAATTCCACATGCTGCTGTGGAAATGCAATAGGCCAAAGGTGGAACTGAATCGCATTTAGCAAGAGACTCAAAAGAAGTGCAGGTAGGGGCCACTTCCCGATACCTTTACTTTCTGGCTAAAGTTTTGGTCATCTATGAATGACCAAGTGTTTTTATACTTGTTAGCATGAGCTGGACTCTACAACCCACACAAGTGGCCCAGGTAGTGCAGCTCATCCAGGATGCCTCATTAATGCAAGCTGTGGCATGAAGCTTTGCTGTGTCTGTCAGCGTCCAGAGGCTGGAGACGCTAAAAGGAGAAGTAGAGGTGGCTGTAGGAGGGCAATAACTCAGCAGCAGGACTGCCACCTATACCTTTGTGCAAGGAAAAACAGGAGGAGCACTGCCAGAGCCCTGCAAAATGACCTCCAGCAGGCCACAAATCTGCACAAACGGTTAGAAATGGACTCCACGAGGATGGTGCAAAGGCCTGATGTCCACAGATGGGGTTGTGCTCACAGCAGGACATTTGGCATTTGCCAGAGAACACCAGGATTGGCAAATTCCCCATTGAAGCCCTGTGCACTTCACAGATGAAAGCAGGTTCACAGTGAGCACATTTGACGGACGTGACAAGAGTCTGGTGACACCATGGAAAGCGACCTGCTGCCTGCAACATCCTTCAACCTGACAGGTTTGGCAGTGGGTCAGTAATGATGTGGGGTGGCATTTCTTTGTAGGGCAGCACAATCCTCCATGTGCTCGCCAGAGGCGGCATGACTGCCATTAGGTACAGAGATGAGATCCTTGTGAGACCATATGCTGGTGAGGTTTGTCCTGGGTTTCCTCCTAAGGCAGGACAATGATAGACCTCATGTCACCAGACCTGAATCAGATTGGGCACATCTGGGAATTCATGTCTTAATCTGTCTACCAACGTCACATTGCACCACAAGCTGTCCAGGAGTTGGTGGATGCTCATCTCCAGGTCTGGGAGGAGATCCCTCAGGAGACCATCTGCCACCTCATCAGGATCATGCCCAGGCATTGTAGGGAACGTCATAAAGGCCTGTGGAGGTCAAACACCAATGAGCTTCATTTTGGCCTGTTTGATGGACATTACATAAAAGTTGGATCAGTCTGTAGTGTTTTTCCACTTTAAATTTGTGTGTAACAATGAGTTGATGCAATCAACTGGCTTTCCTTAGATAGAAAACTTTGAATCAATTTGACTATCATCTGGTTGAATTGTCTTTGTGCCTTTAGATGACATGTGTTGTGAATTGGCGCTATATAGATAAACTGAATTGAATGGACTCCAAATCCAGGCCTGCATTAGTTAATAAATTTGTTATCCATTGATTATTGTTGTGTAATTTTGTTTTCAGCACATTAAACTTTGTACAAAAAAAAAGTATTCAATGAGATTATTTCATTCTTTCAGATCTAGGATGTATTATTTGAGTGTTCCCTTAATTTTTGTATGTATAGTGCACTGCAAAAGTATTAAGCTTAAACTCTTTTTCCTTTTGCCACATTTCAGGTTTATTATTATAAATTATACCGTAATTCTTTGTGAAGAATCAACAAGTGCAACTAAATCTTTTTAAAAGATAAATTAAAAAAAAAAGAAAAATTTGGTGTGAAAAATGATTCCACCATCTTCATTTAATACTTTGTAGTATTACTTTTGCTTCGATTAAGCTGCAAGTCGCTTAGGGTATGTCTATCAGTTTGACACATTCTTCCTTTCAAAACAGCTGGAGCTCAATGATGTTGGATGGAGAGAGTTGTTTGTCCTGTTTGTCTCTGTGTTGCCCCGCAATGGACTGAGGACCTGTCCATGGTGTGCCCCACCTCTCACCCATAGACAGCTGACCCCAGCTGGGATAAGCATGACGGTAAATAGATGGGTGGATATTCCTGATACCATTATCTAATTCTTTAAGACCACAGTCATGGGTTAAATATACAGAAGTTTCTAATTTCCTCCATGAAAGCATGTGATTTCTTCATACATGTTGACCTTCACATGTCCAGGATTAAATAAGAACAGTACTTCCTAAAGCAGTACTTTCTAGGTGTTGCAGAAATATTACCACAGGCTAAATTAGGTGACATTTCTGAGGAAATGAGGCTTAAACAATTACATGACGGTTGACTTCATCAAAGAAATCACTTTATGTTAGCCTGATATCTCCTCTTTGGTTTAAATGAAACATGCTGGTTATAAACTTTTTATCAGTCTTATGGAAAACTGGTAGCAGTGGAGTGATCTGAGTTTAAGTTAAAATTAGTAATGCTTTATTGTTATTTAGCCTTCATTTAACCAAAGTTCCATTTAGATTTAAAATATTTTTTGCACAAGAGATTAAGGCAGGAGGGCAGCAGCATATAAATTGCAACAGAACAAATTCAAACTTAAAAAAAAAATAAATGAAATATAACATTTTTACACACAGGCATAATTGATTGCATTTATTAAGTAAAGATTTTAAATTCTTTGAGAATCACAATGACTTGAATGTAAAGTTTAGACTGGTTTGTGCTGAAAACCTAAAACTTTTTCATGCCCACAAATTTTAGGAGATCCATGGATCAGAGATTAGAACTTCTTTGCTTTCTTGTTCAAAAACTTGTCAAATATAAAGAAGTGAGATGCCAAACCTGCTAAAATTGCTATCTACTAATAATTTATAATAAAAACAATTTAAAAGGTAAATATAGTAACCATGTTAGGGTTTTAAACAACAAACCTTTTACTGTCAAGATGTGTCACAACTCCTCCTGTCTCACTCGAATTTCAAGAAAGGATAGTTAGAATAAGAAAAGCAACTAGATATTAAACAATCTTTATTTTTCTAAAATTAATCTAGATCTGTTTGTGAATGAGAATAAGGGGGAGAGAAGGAACTATAAATAATCTTTACCCAAATTTACATTGGAAACAGGTGGTACATGAAATATGTCCTTAGTATGTATAAATATATATATACACTGCACTGCCAACTTCAAAATAAAAAAAACTTGTTTTAGGCATACTAAACACCCAAATATAGTTTTATCTTTATTTTATAAAATTAGAGAATTTCTTTTTTTTCAAATCCAAATGGTTTATTGCTTCCCAGCTGTTTTAGCTGAAAAAAACAACAAAAAAACTTTATATAAAAAAAGATCACAGGGAATTAAATTCAGTTTAAAGTTTAAATGTAAATATTAGGAGTAGGTCTACAGCTTTTAGGTCTGAGCCTAAGAAAAAGACACCTTTAAAAAACAGGATGTTTTTCACAGCTTTTCTTTCATATTCTACAGATGTCATGCTTTAGTTTGTTTTGTTTTTTTTTGTCATGGGAATGAATTCCTCTGCTGGTCAGTAAAGTCAGGTTATGCAGAAACCATACAGTTGACAGTAGAAAAGGTATCAAACTTTTCACCTGGTATATCTTCAAGGTAGCTGTAGAAATATCTACAGTTTACTGTTAAAGCTGCGTGCCAAGAGGCTCAGTATTGCACAGAATATACCACTAGCTATAAATGCCTGTAAATGTTCGGTTTTATATTGCCGTTACTCCTGTCCTGTACACCTTCTCTGATGTTTTAACACACAGGAGCTGCTGCAGTCGAGGGTTTAATGTTATATCTCTAGGAGAGGTACTCTCCCCCCTGGTTGTTCACTTTTTAAAAGCAGTCCTGAGGCATATAAAATATTTATTCCTGGGATCTAATTATTTTTGCTTTATGCTCTGTGTTCCATTTGACCCTCCAGAGAGAATTTAGTTCACGTTTTTTATTAAATCCACATTTTACTATAATGTTCTGATCTTTGTTTTTTCATGGTCACAATTAGCAGAACTGATTAACTTGTCCCTGTGTGGTGCAGCAGATTTAAGTCCGTCTTTGATACAGGGGACAAGGGTTTGATTTCAATTGCAGGTTAACCTCTGCTTAAGTTGAGTGCAGGTTGTAATGAACTCTGTAGGGAGCAGCCCAGTTATATTTGGAAGGTCACGCTGAACCCTTGCTAGAGCCAAATCGCTTATAGCCACCATTGAGAAGTTCAGTTTAGGCAACTGGATGTGAAGTTTTGCCTCTAATCGGTTCCAAATATTGCAGAGCAGAGATTAATCTCAACTTAAAAATCAAGAAACTTTCAGGTCCAGTTTTCTAAGCTGGACCTGAAAGTTTCACTTTGCTTGCTATAGTTTTTCGATAGACGATGTACATTTTTTTAACGGTATTAGGTTCTTTTTTGCAAAGGTAATCCGACTAATTTTTTGGGCCAGGAAAGACATCTGTGTCCTTCTACCCAAGAAATGTAGTCCAAATAAAAAAAATTGAGATCACACTGTAGCAAAGTAGATGCTTTATTACAACTGTTAATTACAAAAATAACAAAAGGCATATCGGCCAAGTGTGTTGGAGGGACTTTTATACAATATTCACCGAAACAGATCCTCAAATCCAAACCATGAACTCCTGCACTTAACACTGGTCATTCCTGGCAGCATGGAGACTTACAGTAATCACAGCTTTAAAATGTTGCTGCCATTTATCAAAAACAGCTCATTACCATCTAACTCCTTTAGAAAAACTGAAAATGTTGCATTAAACAGTTTCAGCCACTCAAGCCTCGCATGCAGTGTGCTTTAATAGAAATGAGTTTATGGTTCTGCAGTTACATTACAGTTCTAGATGGCCATGATTCAACAATCCCAACAAGCACAATTAGCAGGTCCATCTTATTAAGGCATGAGGCACCAATTCCTCACTTTGATAGAAAACATCTATACAACTTTAACTCAAAGATACATTCAAAAGCATCTACTCTGCTTAAAATCTTACATATTCTAACTAAGGATAAGTATGAAAATAAACTGTACACTGAAATGAAGAGTCCTTTTAAACTATTCTGTCTTTTTCTTTTTTTTCTTTTTCTTTTCAGATGCAACTGCTTCTGGAGCTTCCTCTTCTGCCTCCTCAGCTACAGCTTCACTCTTTCGTTTCTTTTTCTTAGGTGGGACCGGCGTTTCCTCCGCCCCATTGTCCGTGGTTTCCTCTGCGTCTTCAGCCTTTTGTTTTTTCTTTGCTTTGACCGGAGTCTCAACCGATTCGGCCTCCTCAGTCTGCTCTGCAGCTTGCTTTTTCTTTTTCTTCTTCACCACAGGTGTGTCGGCTTCTCCATCCTCCATCTTACAAGAAAAAAATTGAATAAAAAGCAGTTTGTCTACATGCAAGACTTAATCCAGCTGGTTTCCAGATCTCTATACTTAAAAACATTTTAAATTGTATGACATCACATTTTAAGTAGTGCACCTTTGGTGCAAAAACATCAGTATGTGCTTTAAACTGAGTTGCTGTCTGACTCTCTTCAGTGATCTAGCCCACTAAGGAGGACCAGCCAATGGTTCGGAGTCTAAAGTTGATCTAGCATGCCGTACACTGAGGCCAGACCATAAATGTGGGTCAGGTCTCAAATCTGAACATGCAGCAGAAGAAAATCCACAAAGCTCACCTCTGCTTCGCCGTTTGTTTCTCCATTTGCTGCAAGTTCCTGCAGCTTCTTCTCACGCTTCTTACGTTTCTTCTCTTTCTTCTCCAGTTTACGTTTCATTTCAGCTGCAACATCAGTAGCCTGAAAAGGAAAGGGAACCAAAAACTGATTAAATCAGGAAAGCAACATCAGGTTACCAACCAAGGGACTTTAAAATGCTGCATCAGGCTCATTAAATCAGTTTCTACCCTCAGCATTATGTCAGGGAAATATTTTGTCATCATTTACAGCACATTTATAAGACTTAAAAAAGGTAGACAAACACCACGCCTGTTATCAATGCTTTTAGAGACTTAAAACTGAGCTCACCTCTTTCACAGCCTCAGTCATGACGTCAACATTTTTCCGCGGCACCTCTCCTGTCTCATAAAAAGACAGACGCTCCTCCACCTGTTCACGCAATTTGTCTCCAAATACACTAGTGGGGAGCTCTGGAAGGAATGAAACAATAGTCAGAGGGAGGATTCCACACTTTTTTATTCTGTGCAGAGCACATGCAGTCCTCCTCAGAAAACAACTTCTCAACATCAACCTGTCGGATGAATGCTGTTGACGAAAAATGAAAGCATCATTGCAGGCATTTCTACAAGTCTCCACAAAAGACCCACACGTTCACTCACCGGAGAAGCAGTCGATGCGTGAAGCAATGGTGCACTTGTTTGCCAGATATCTAGAGATGCGGCCTTTGTTCTTCGCTGCAGCTCGTCCGATGAAGGTCGAGTGGAAGATGAGGCCATATTTGGGCGTGTTTCCTCTCGTTTTCAAAGCTCTGTGTGGACACATAATTATCTTTTCACCTCTATTAGAAACAATCTAATCACTGATTAATCTGAAAAAGAAAAAAAAACTTGTTAAAATCACGAGACATCTGTAAAATTAAACACCTTCACATGTAGGGACACATTCACATTGTGAAGGTTTTTAAAAGACAAGTTAAAAACACAAAGGTTGATATAAAGCCAGCTGGTGAACAGCTCCCTCTAGTGGATGAATAGCTTCTCCAGTGACCAATGTAACTGACTAGTGAGGTGTGCAGGCTGCACATTTAATTCTCATTAATATGACATTTTTTACTAGAAACCTGGAGAAAATTGTACGATTCAGCAGGTGTAACTTTGTGCAACAGCTCATGTCTACCTCAGTGATCTAAGTGGCTGCTCAGACTGTGGGGGTGCATTAGAACGAGTGGGCTCACTCCAGAGTAGTCACTCCAGTCACCCAACTCTGCTCCAGCCCAACCCTGCCATCACTGCAGCCACTTCTTTCCCCAGCAGGGAGGGGGCGCCCCAGTACCTGAACAGGGCCTTTTCTGCTCCCAGGATCTGAACGGTGGACGCCGGGTACTTGGCCAGGTTGGTCAAACTACCAGCATGGGAGATAAGTCGGGCTCCAACCTGGAAAAGTAAGAACATGTCTTTACCGCCAAGAAACGCACACCACGAGGCAGTTTATTCAGGCTCTGCACATTTTAAAAAAAGGACCTTCAGCACCGAATGTATTTCTCATCACATAGGATCAGTGGATTGACAGATTTTGGTATAACATCATCGGTCCCATGGATCATGAAAATCAAAAACATTCGCTCACCACTTCTCCAATCAGGGCTGCCAGGTTCGGGGCCACCTGACTCATCTTGGAGCGGAGGTACTCCTGCAGCTCCAGCCTATAGGCGGCCAGAGATACCACACGGTTCGAGAACCTCTCTATGTTGATTAAATCGATGGGTGAAATGTCCATACCTGAATAGGAAGACAAGGGAACAATGAGAAGAAGCAATAACTTCTCATCCGCTGCATTGTTTACATTGAGGATGTTTCTCCCGACAGGATCCGCAGCGAGGATTAGTGCCTCCACTACAGGTTTATGAGAGAGTTGCTCTGCCCCCCTGTGTTAGGCACCAAGGACGACTGGTGGTCCAAGGTGGGCATAAAAGGGGCTCAATGACACTTGAATAGACATTTTGCTTTTATCACACTAGAACTTTCGTGTATTTTAACAAGACCACAAGTTTTGATGTTTTCTACTGGACTTTAAGATTAAAGTAAGTCACAATTCCACAATATCCCTAGGCACAATATTTTTTTAGGTCCCATTCAACAGAAAGATTGAAAGCAATAACCTCCCAGTAGAGGCAAAGCTGCGCAACCTTCACCGCTATCGCCGTTTGCTCACCCATGGAGGAGCGTGAAGCATCCAGGATGGCCTGAGCCTTGGCGCTGTCCATCACCACTTCTTCAAGGCTCTCCAGACTCTCCTCTGAGAGCTCCTTCCTGTTGCCGATGAGCTGAGCCAGACGGCAGTACATGGAGTTCTCCGACACGATCTTGATCAGCTCTGGAAAGTGGTAGCCGTACCATTCACTGCAAACAGAAGAATGCAGGTTAACCAAGGTTATAAAGGTACTGGACATGAAAGTCAGAATAAGCTATGCTTTGACACCAATCTGAGCTGTGAAAAAAAAAATGATGTCTCAACCAACAGTGAGCCTTACTGGACAATAGCCAACAAAGCACCAGTGCTGGGAGAGCTTCATGTGCCTCCAGTTTCTATGCAGGCAGTACTCTGATGCACCGTCTGTGGTAAGCATTAGGAGGATGAATGAACCTCATGCTGTTACACTGTTGAGCAAAAAGCATCATAAACCCACCGGACTCGCATGGAGAAGGTGTTGATGTCTTTGTCGAGCTGATCCAACAGAGCAATGGACTGGATGATCATGTTATCGGCCCTGTTGACATTGAACTTGACTTTGGCTCTGGAGTAACTGTGACCCAGACCCAGTTGGGCCTTGGAGGCGGCCTGGGCAGTTAGACCCTTCACCAGGGAGTGGAAATGCAGACGAACACCTGTCAGGATTAAAGAGGCTGTTTGAGAAGTTTTCCTCACAGTAAGAGGGAACAAAAATCTCTAACATCTTGTGGCTGTTCAGATTTTCAGTATCAACCTTCATGAGTTTCAGGATAAGGATGCATCACAACAGGCCACTTATTTAACACTTTTCTTTTACGCAAGAGTCTTGGAAGAAAAAAAAAAAAAAAAAAAAAAGAACCATCCTGACCTCTGATTATCTCAGCCACCGCTCCGCCAGTTTGTATAGAAATGGTGAATTCTTCCTGAAGAGCGGCTCCGATTTTGGCATCAGACACTCCCAAGTTAGCCTTCTTCTTTCCAGACAGAGGAAGGTTGGTTTCCAAGAACAACTTCAGATCTGCATGAACCACACCTGCAAAGACCAAAACATGTGACTCAGTGGACAGCGAGGTGATGCGCATCAAAAACATAATACTGCTTCCCTCAGATGTTCAGGGTCAACATTAGGTTGTCATCACATCAATTCAGTGGATTGACAGATTAAAATACATCATTACAACTGAGGACCAGCACCAACAATTTTTACAGACTGCAAAAAGGAACTTATTCCCATAAAGGAGACCTTATTTACAGACATCCACTGAAAACCACAGACCTTCAGATATGGCGTTCATGTTCTCCAAGGCAGCCTGAGCAGACCGGAAGGGGAAGAAGGCAGCCAGGCTCACCATGCTGTTGAATTTCCCCAGACTCAAGACGCTCTGCTCCACCTGTCAAACACCCACTCAGTGAATCCTGCTCCCACAGCAGCACAATCAAAGACCAGGGCATCCATAATCTCACCTGAGGGAGCAGCATGCCGATCTCCTCCACCTCTTTGACCACGAACAGTGCGTAACCTGCCGCATGCTCGAACAACACATGCAGCACAACCTGCAGATGGAAATTTAAATTATGCCAACATAACTAGTAAGAAGTTAAAGCTTCATTCCCATTCAAATACATGATATGGACATAAAGAAACTGTCCATTTATAAAATATTTGGATATCCTGTTAAGATTTAGAGAATTTGGCAAAAATAAACTTTTAAGATCACACAGTAACCAAACAACAATGAGGAAATCCTAATATTTAGTGACATGATTCCAAATTAAGATTAAAATTTTTATTCAATCAGTAGAATAAGAAGCTTTTGGAACACTAAACTAAAAGCAGCCATTACATTTTGATTAAACCATTTTATTTCAAAACAGTCTAGATCAATCAGACTTAAATAGCAGCCTTTTAACCTTAGATAACTAAATAATCTACTGGGTTCATGTCCCGATCTGACATGAGTTACTCCTAATGAGTGCCATCCTCTATTTTTTCTGTATTTTCTGTAAGTAAAACCCTCACAGAATAATGCCGCTATGACTGCGTTTGACTGCAGGGTCGACACGTGGTTAACAATCGAGCAAAAATAACGGGGTTTATCAGGTTAAATTTTGAAAAGTAAAATAAAATCCTTCTATTCCTAACATAGATCAGTTTAAATGTGTTAAAGAACAAAGTGCTAGTTCTGGAGTAACCGAATGGCCTTCATGTGGACCCCACGTGTTGTTCTGGGCCCTAGGTATGATGCTAGTGCTAACAATTGCTAACAGTTAAACTAAACCTTAGTGCACAGCAGGAGCAGAAACCCCCCGTTTAGCAGATGTTACCACTTAAGTTAAACCCATCTTCTTTCTAAGTGATCTACATCCGTCTCAACGATGCGAAAATAAGTTTCTACCAATATTAACCGGGGCTAGCTAGCCGCGCCTCTAATGTTCTAACAGGCCCGTTAGTTTGTTGCAATTAAACACTACAATCAAAGCCAACCTAAGCTGTTGTAATGCAACATTAGTTACTTTCTCTGTCGTTTTATAACGGATACATTTAACCTCTTTAAACCTACCATTATTGCAGAGTATGTTTGCAGAACCACGCAAAGCGTGTCTGCTCTCTTCGTTAACCTCTGAGGAAAGACGGCGCAGGCGTTTCCAGCACAGAGACATGTGATTCAAACAACGCGAGATCTACACGACCCCGCGAGATTAAGAATAATATCCTCAGAGGATCTACCAAGGATCCCTACCCCAAAGATGTATGACATTTGAGTTATATAGTCATTTCTTAACACAATTTGATTCTGTTTTGATTAGATTCTGTCATTTCAGGTCTGTTTGGAGAACACAAATAAAAAATTTTTTCCCCACTGAAATAACTGCAGTAAATTAAAAAAAATCGTAAAGAACTAGTTTCTAATGTTAATGGTTTAAAAATGCCTTACGTTTTGAAAACTTCTTCCATGTTTCCCTAAAATTCAATTAAAAACAAAATAATTAATCTGCACAGTTTATTGTTAGAAAATATGCCTTACAATACAGGAAGTGTAGCAATAAGGTGATTTATTTCTGTGATTCTGCTATCAGAGCAACTTCAAAGGAGCTGAGATATTTGACACCAGAGCTCAATTCCACATTGCTTTATAAATTTAACCGCAGAACAAGTTGAATTCAAATATAAAACTTAAAATATTCAAACTGGAGTGTTTCCATGTAAGTATACGTCCTCTAGCGTTCGTGTGTGGCACTACACCAGGGATGCAAAGGACACAACACCACGCAAATGTTTTCATCCACAATATATGAATTAGGCTCCTGTCATTTTCAAAGGTTTCCAAGCCCAAATTAAGCTATTATTCACAAACAAGTAAAATAAAAAAAGTAGAAAGATGTAAATGCATTTGGATTAAAAAACAAAACAAAAACATTTTTTTAAATGTCTCAATGAGGTGTGTGACAAAGAATCAAGATCCTGTGAGGGAGAGCTTGTCTTTATTTTTAAGTGTGTTTTTAGAGTCAGATTTCTCTAAATACAACATATTTAACACTTAAAAAATGGAATATTATCAAGCTGCATCTGAAGTCATTAAAACCGGGATCTGATTTGATTCCAGTGTGATTGAAAACTGTCTGAAGAGGACAGAGATGAGACAACAAAATTAGCACAAAGGAACCTAAGACCCTTATAAAAGAGTGTTATAGTAATTAAACGCTTTTATTTAGTGTGATTTTCTTTAATCTTCACAGGGTCAACATTATTACAAACCAGCTACTTAAAATAACAATTTGATCTAACTGCAAATTTGACAAACAAACAAAGAATTTGACACTTTACTCTCATTAAAGACACTTTTTACTACAAATATATATATAAAAAACATAGCAGAAATATGTTATTCTTTCTCACAGAAGGAATCAGTTTGTAAAGGTTTTAATTATACTAAGGTTGTTATAATTGTTTCAAAATATATCAGCCTTTTTTGTTTCTTTTTTTTTTTTTTTTTTTTAAAGATTTGAAGAAATACATTTCTTATTCATCTCAAGCCAAAACATCCCTAAAATTAGGAAAGAACTCCTAGAAAGACATAAGGAGGATGGTGGGCTGACTTTATCAAATTTTATTTGTTGTTATTAAGCAACTAACACTTTTAAGTTGGTTTGCTGGTTTACAGACTCATCAAACTCTGAAACTACAAATTGGGTCCACATGGAACGGCACATCCGGTCTCCCTTAGCTCTTTTTCATGTGGCCCTCGAGCACTGAGTAAACGTTACTAGAGGAACAATGCAGTGGTCAAAGGCTCTTTGAAAATCTGGTTCCAATTTAGGACTCACTTTAAGCTTCCTTCCAATAGTAGAGTAAAATTAAATGTGTAAGGGGGCGTTTTTTCATAAGAGGCCATATCATTCCGTTTAAGCAGCTGAAAAAAAGACTTTGATTACACAAATAGAAATTTTCAAACATCTTCAAGTGCGTAGGTATGCAAGGAGTAATCTCTGTTTTTATATTGCCCCAAAAACATGGCTGGATGAATGTTTGGCCACAAACCCAATGGCTAAAGGGCTGATGTTAACCATAAATTGGCAGAATTAGTGTGTTGCCTCTTCATCACTTGACCATTTGAAAAACCAGTGAGAAGGAGAACCAGGGGAACACTTTGCAGTTAAAATCTGACAAGCTGCAGCAGTAGACTTTATTACTTTACTGTCATTTCGTATACACAGTGTATACAAAACAAATGTTTGAATCATACAGCTTTTTGACAGTGAATGAGAAGCTTACAACAGTGAAATGGACATTTCCATTTATAAAGTGCAGCAATGATCAAAATGTAAACAGTATGGGAGACAGATGGTGCAAATGACATTGATGTGGAAGGTTCAGAGAAGTGCAAAAATAGATAAATAGATATGGTGCAAAATGCAGTAGAAACACTGAGTTGAGTTCTATTTTGAAGATTCACCATGTAGTGCAAATATGATGTTTATGGTGTAATGCAGTGACTCGATTTGTGACTTGATTAGTTTTCAATGGTTCAACAGTCTTTTTGCAGTTGGGAAAAGGCTGCTGCAGAATCTGCTGGACCTGCATCGAATGCTGCAAAGCCTCTTCCCAGAGGGCAGCAGGGAGAACAGTCCATGGTGGGGGTGTGAGGGGTTGCTGATGATGTAACGGGACACGCAGCACTGGGATGAAATGTCTTTAATGGAAGGAAGAGGAGCCCCGATGATCTTCTCTGCAGTTCTCACCACTCTTCTCACCTTCTTCCAGTCTGAGGCACTGCAGCCTCCACACCACACAGGGAGACAGCTGGTCAGAACGCTCTCTACGGTGCTTCTGTAGAAGATCGTGAGGATGGGTGGGGGCAGGTGGGCTCTCCTCATCCTCCTCAGGAAGTACAAGCACTTTTGTGCCCTTTTGACCAGTGAGGAGGTGTTCATAGTCGAGGTGAGGTTGTCTGTGATGTGCACCCCAAGGAATTAGTAAGAATTCGAAAGAATCCACTCATTATCACTCTGCCTGCTGGAGAATAAGGTGCTGTCCATATTGCACTTTTCTCTAAGTAGAATATACAGTGGTGCAGATAACCATTCTGTATCTGATGCAGACATGACCTTGGTTGCCTCAATCATATGTTGTAGGTATGCAAGATGTTTAATTTTGTCCGTTTGGAAAAAACAGTGGCCAGAAGATGTTATGTTATGTTTGTGACATCTATCTAGGATATAACCTTGGTCTTGCTCCTGGATCATAGATTTCCTCTCTAGCAGCCCCTAAGGTGATGAGGATACGGAAAGTAACATCTGCCACACTGATCTTAAACACATGGAAAATGCAGGGTTGTATTCAATTCCCTTCCTTCTTCATCCTATTCGTGTTTCACAGAACACATGGTTTTGAGAAGTCTCATATGTATGACGAGACCAACTGCATAGAAAAGGATAATCTGACACAGTAGTGCTCTAAGAACAACTGATCAGAAAGCCTGATAAAGTGATAAGGGATAACAGGAGGTCTTGGAATACTGAACACGCCCCCTGTCTGTATAAATGGGAGGTGTTGGAGCCTATGGACAGCATAAGGTTCCTGGACTATCATATCTCCTCTGACCTCTCTATGACTGAGCACACATCCCACTTGGTGAAGAAGCTCCTTCTTTCTCAGGAAGCTAAAACAGTCTGGTCTCTCTACTTAGCTCCTCACAAACTTTAATGGGGTTATAAAACGAATCCTATCTCTCAGTGTGATGGCGAGGGAATATCTGCAGAATTGTGGGATGCTCTCTCTGTCCAATTAGGTACATAATAACTTGGGAGACGTTTATGTTGCAAAAGTCCAGTAAAGGGCCAGAAAAAAGGACTTCAGACCTTCTTAACTAGATGTACATTTTGATTCTGTGTCTCAGCTAACTTTGATGTTGGTCCCAGAATAATAAAAACTCTCGATCTCTATATCTTGGTGACCCATCCGATCCGCCCCCTGTCTGTAGACAGTGTCATCAGAACAATGACGGTCATGTTGCCTGCAAACTTCCCCAGTCTCAGAGATGGATCTGCTGAAGAAGAACCTCACACTTTTTGCTGCCATGATTTTAGATAAAAAGTTGAGAATTAGAGAGTAAGGCCCCTTCTTTTGTAAGTGAAGCCAAAAAACCTTGGGGTACTAACCTCTCACCATGAAACATTTTGCCAAAAGGCCTATTGCTTGTCCTGCTGTAAAGTTCAGTTTAGTTCCAAGGTGTAATTTTATTTTAGCTATCTTTAGTCCTTATTTAAATTAGCTTGTGCAGGCATGGAGAAGGCACAGATGTAGAACATGAAGGGAGGCCTCTGTTCTTTTTTTTTTTTTTAACAGTGTCCTGTCTGGCAATGTGGCAATAAGAATAATTGTCTTGATGCCAAAAAGAG